AAATAAGTTACTTACAAACTAATATACAAAATACTTACACAGTGTTATATTATATACATTATTTTGCACTACGTTAGACCCAAAGAACCAAGCTGAAACAACAAATCATTTAAATTTAGGCTAATTTATATGTATATGATATATTTGTTATATTTCTTTACCAATGTCATCTTATCTTCTTCTTTTTTAAGTATTTTTGCTGTTTGTTCTTGATCAAACTTAACGACTGCAGCAATCACTCTGGCTAGCACCATCGTTTCTCTTCCCATCATGTACTCAAATAAAATGTTTCTAAGATACTCTATCTCTGTTGAATCTTCTAATGTATCATGTCTTAACTTTACTATTTTTCTAAGTTCAACTAGTTCTCGCCTTTGAGCTGTTAGCGTTTGTTGAAGGGTATGAAAGGAACCAGTATTTGATTGCACTGCTGCCATTGCAACCCTTGAAGTGCTCTCTAATTCCTAATTAAAATTACATTCTTGATTAGTTTTTAATTTGAATTCATTATTTAAATCTACTATGCTTTAATAAGCAGTAATGCAAGTAAGAAGAAAAGCAAAATTGAATTTAATAATACAAGGGTAAAATAAGAAAACAATAAAATAAGGTGAACTGTACCTTGGAAGCTAAATCAGTTTCTACATCAGGCTGAAAAAGTATAAATGAAAATAAAATTGAAAACTTAAAAAAATATATAACAAAAGTCGAAAAATAATTTTTAAATAAAAATATGATTTTATAAAAAAGTTTGTTGTAATAAATCGTTTGCAACCAACCCTTCTTTCATTTCGCCATTCTTTTGTTAATTCATTAATTTCTTCTTCATGTTTTGCTTCCAACTTGTCAGTCTTTTGCTGCACAATTGCCTTCCATTTTTTTTCAATTTCTTTAATTTCATCATTGTGTTCCTTCTTCATTAATGAAATTTTTTCCATTACTTGATTTATATCTTTTGATTTTTGGGACATGAGATTTTTATTTTCTAAAATTAGGTTCTCGATGTGTTCAGATTTTGCAGTTAATTCTATTTGAAAATCCTTTAATTGTTCTTTATATTGTTGAATTAAATTTGATTCGTAATTCTGTTGGCGATCTAAATAAAATGGTATATAATATTAATATTACATATATTATAATTTGATAAATAAATGAGATAAATTATGTGATATAAAATCATTTTAATGTACCAAATCGTTTTTCCAGAGCAGCATGCAATTCTTCATCTTTGTCTTGCAATTGAGCCTGAAACTCTTTAACTAATTGCTTTATCCTCATGCTTTGTTCTTCTTCGTGTGTCTTCAATTCTTCTCGTAATTTGTCTGTTTGGTTTTTTAAATCATTGTTGATAATTTGCATCTGTGACTCTTTTGCTTGAAATGTTAGTAATACTTCATCTAATTGAGCTTCTAGTTTTTTATTCTCTTCTTGTAGCTTGTCATATTTCTCCACGTGGGATTCATCCACGACATTACAACTTTGAGCACCTTCTACTTCTTTTTGTAATGCAACATTTGATTCTTTAAGACTTTCAGTTTCTGTCTGCATCTTAGTAATTTCTTCTTTCAAGTGCTGAATAGTATGTTTTGATAACTCTAACTCTGTTGTTTCGTCTTCTGCCATTGGAGATTTTAATCTTTCAATTTCTCTTAACAATTCTGTATTTTTAGTATCTAGTAACTTCAATTCAGCCACTTTTTCTTCTACTATAAATTTTAATTCATCTAATTCCGATATTAATCTATCCTTGTCCACATTCATACTTTTTATTTCAAACTGCAATTCTACATTCATAGCTTTTAGTGTGTCAAGCTCGTTTTGCAATTCGACTTTCCTTGTCTGTGCTTGCCGTAAATTAGAAATCTCGGATTCTAAATCGTTAACATTAGATTGAAGTTTTGTATTCACAGAATTCACATTTTCCAATTCTGTTAATTTCTCCTTTAAGGATAACTGTATTTTAATTAACTCATTATTTTGTGACTGAACTTCTTGTAAACTACTTCTTTCTTCATTTAAGGTTCTTAGATTTAATTTCAGTTTATTATTTTCTTCTTCAACAGATGCAAGTATGGTGAGTTTTTCTTTTAATGTCTCTATATTTGTTACAAGTTCCTTATTTTTTTCTTATATATTATTGTTACTCTTTAATGTTGATCTCAACTCAGATATTTCATTTTGTAGTTGTTCATTTTCCTTAATAAAACGTTTCTTAACTTCTTCCGTTGCATTTTTGTACTTGGTTAACTCTTCAATTTGTGAGTATAATTCTTCAGTTTTGCAATGCAACTCTGTATTTAGTGTTGTTATTTGCGTTCTTAAATTTTCTGTATCTTTATCTTGTTCCTTCAAATTATTTTTATATAGTTCAATTTCGTTTCGCAATTTCATACCATCATCAAGTAGTTGTTGATTTTGTTCTTGATAATCTGAAATTATTTTTTTCATATTTTCATTCG